AAAAAGGTTCATGTAATTTCACCTTTTTTTTTTTTTTAACACCATCATAGATGGCCTGAAGTCCATTGCTCCCGCGGGACCAAACTATGCGTGTTGAAGTTACAGCCTACGCAGTCTCTGCCTCTGTAAACCTAAAACCCTATTGGGCAACCCTAGAGACCTCTTGCACTGAGCTCCTAATTTAGTAGTTTATCTCTCTTGCAAAACCTCCCCATTCCCTCCTTAAAACCCAAGTTTCTTCCCCTCTCTCTCTCTCTCTCTCTCATCCTTACAGAAGCCCCTCCACCTCAAGCCTCCTCTCTCTCTCTCATCCTTACAGAAGCTTCTCTGCCTTGAACCTCTCCCCTCTCTCTCTCATCATGTCCTTCCTTCGCCTCCTCCGCTCTCCTCACTCTCACCCCAAAACCCCTTTCTCTCTCCTCCCTCACCGCTCCCTCTCCTACTACTCTTCCCAGCAACCCTTTCACCAGCCCCCCAACTCTGACCCTGATCCTAACCCTAACCCTAACCCCAATCTGGACTCCCCTCGTTTCCCCTCCTCTCATCAACAGCCACCATCCCCTCCTTTCCCCAACTCTAATCCTCAGCCACCATCCCCTCCTTTCCCCAACTCTAATCCTCAGCCACCATCCTTCTCCTCAAACAATCTTTCGAACTATGGGCAACAACATCAGCCGCCATACTTCTCTGCGAATAATTTTCCAAGCTCTCAACAACAACATCGGCCACCATCCTTCTCCTCAAACAATCTTTCGAACTATCAGCAACAACATCAGCCGCCATACTTCTCTGCGGATAATTTTCCAAGCTCTCAACAGCAACATCAGCCACCTCCTTCGTTCTCTTCCGATAATTTTCGGAGCTCTCAGCAACAACATCAGCCACATTCATTCTCTTCAGGTAATTTTTCAAGCACTCCACAACAATATCAGCCGCCCTCGTTCTCTTCAGGTAATTTTCCGAGATCTCAAGAACAACCATCTTTCTCAGAAAATCAGTCATTTCCCTCTTCAAATCATTTCCCGAGCTCTACACAACAATCGTCATACTTCTCCTCCAATGATTCTCAGTCTCCTCAGCAGCAACAACAACTACAACCATCCTTCTCTACTTTGAACCGCCTAGAAAACCTCATCCCCCCATCTTCACAGCAGCAACAACCATCATATTACTCGAACACGACTGCACGGCCGCTTGCGTTCTCATCGGCAGAAGAGGCTGCGGCAGAGCGCCGCAGGCGAAAACGCCGCCTGCGCATTGAGCCCCCCCTCCACGCCCTCAGAAGGCCCCCACTCCCCCACCAGAATTCCAACCCTAATGCCCCTCGGCTCCCTGACTCTACCTCTGCACTTGTGGGCCCACGCCTCAGTCTCCACAACAAGGTCCAGACTCTGATCCGATCAAACCAGCTGGACCAGGCCACTGTGATGGCACGCCAGGCCTTGTTCTCTAACACAAGACCAACGGTGTTCACATGTAATGCGGTTATGGCTGCTCATCTGAGATCTCGACGGCTCTCTGAGGTCCCAAACCTTTTTCGCCTGTTCTTTAACCCGACGGGCCCGATCATCCCCAACATAGTGTCGTATAACATCCTCATCAATTCTCTTTGTGATTCAAATGAGGTTGATCGAGCACTTGAAATGTACCAATTCGTCCTTGCAAATGCGCCATTTAGTCCATCACCTGTGACCTATAGGCACCTCACAAAGGGGCTCACCGATGCTGGTCGGGTTCCCGAAGCCATGGATCTTCTGAGAGAGATGCTCAATAGAGGCCATGGTGCTGATTCTTTGGTCTATAATACCCTTATTGAGACCTTCATTAAGTTGGATCAAATGGAGAAGGCCCTTGAATTGTTTGAGGAATTGGCTGAGAGGTGCTTGGTCTATGATGGTATAGTCCATGCTACTCTGATGGAGGGGTACTTTGGGAAGGGAGACGAGAAGTTGGCCATGGACTCATACAATTCCCTACTTGATAAGGGGTTCAAGATGAACGCCGCAACGTGCAATTCACTTTTGAAAGTGCTTTTGAAGTATGGGAAGTTTAAGGACGCGAATGGGCTCTTCGAGCACATGCTATCAACGCATACCCCACCAAACTTTCTCACTATGAACCCTGAGTCTTATACTCTTTTCATCGATTACTTCTGCTCGAAGAACAAGTTTATAGAGGCAATGGAGATTTTGAATAGGACTGGTGTTAAGCCATGTCAATTGGACGCGCCCACTTATAATAATTTGATGAGCCATCTCTCTAAGAATGGCATGAATTCTGAGGCAGAGAGAATCTTCAAGGAAGTCATGCCCTCGAAGAATGTGAACCCAGATGAGTCCACATATGAATTGGTAATTGGTTTGTATTTTGAGCAAGGGAGGATTGATGAAGCCATGGAGTCTTTTGCGAAGATGGTGGAGACTGGTTTGAGGCCTAATGTGACAATGTACAATAATATGCTCGATGGGTTCATGAAGGTGTCGAGGATTGATGAGGCAGAGAGCATATATAGGCAGATGCGCGAGAGAGAATTGAAGCCTGATGGAATGAGTTATGAGATTTTGTTGATGGGTTTATGTGAAGGAGGGAGATTGGATAATTGTTTGGGTTTGCTTGGAGAGATGACTAGAAATGCAGTGGTCCCGAGTTCTAGAGTGAGAGAGCGGGTGATAGAGTGTTTTGAGAGAGAAGGAAGGAAGGAGCAGGTGGAGAGGTTTTTTTTCGGAGAGAATGGGAGTAATGCAGGACCAAATTGGGAGGGAGGCCAAAGTATGCAAGCTCAGCAAGTAGCCGCTTGAGCCATGCTTGGTCTGGCTAGTATCATCAGTAACCACATACCTCTCTCTCTCTC